ATCCGTCGACATTTAAATGAAATGAAACGCTATGGCAGGAGACCCAGGAGGACCCCACTGCTGACACAGAGACATAAAAAAGCAAGACTACAGTTTGCCAAAATGTACTTGAGTAAGCCAAAAGCCTTCTGGGAAAACGTCTTGTGGACAGATGAGACCAAGATAGAGCTTTTCGGTAAAGCACATCATTCTACTGTTTACCGAAAACGGAATGAGGCCTACAAAGAACAAAACACAGTACCTACGGTAAAATATGGTGGAGGTTCAATGATGTTTTGGGGTTGTTTTGCTGCCTCTGGCACTGGGTGCCTTGACTGTGTGCAAGGCATCATGAAATCTGAGGATTACCAAAGGATTTTGGGTCGCACTGTAGGGCCCAGTGTCAGAAAGCTGGGTTTGCGTCCAAGATCCTGGGTCTTCCAGCAGGACAATGACCCCAAACATACGTCAAAAAGCACTCAGAAATGGATGGCAAAGAAGCGCTGGAGAGTTCTGAAGTGGCCAGCAATGAGCCCAGATCTAAATCCCATTGAACACCTGTGGAGAGATCTTAAAATTGCTGTTGGGAAAAGGTGTCCTTCCAATAAGAGAGACCTGGAGCTGTTTGCAAAGGAAGAGTGGTCCAAAATTCCGGGTGAGAGGTGTCAGAAGCTTATTGATGGTTATAGGAAGCGACTGATTTCAGTTATGTTTTCCAAAGGGTGTGCAACCAAATATTAAGTTAAGGGTGCCAATACTTTTGTCCAGCCCATTTTTGGGGTTTTGTGTGACATTATGTCATATTTGCTTTTCTGCCTCTGTTTTATATTTGTTCCAATACATACAAAGGGAATAAACATGTGTATAGCAAAACATGTGTTAATGCAATACCTTTTTTGTGTGAAATACTTGATTTTCAGGAAAAATATCAAGGGTGCCAACAATTTCGGCCATGACTGTATATGTAAAGGGCTGCGTACATTGATGGTGATATACAAGTACCTGAAATAAATAAATGTGTAATGATTAAAGTAGGTGTTATCTAAATTTGTCTGCAAATGTGGAAATACACTTTGAAAATGAACTCCAGGAATCAGACAAAATCTACCCTTGCAATGTGTCCCCTCCCCCATACTGCAAGGGTTAAATGCTTGTTTAGTATAGGGGTAAGGTGTATTTCTATCCGTCAGTCCGGCAGGCTCCAACTCTGTTCTCTACTACTGAAAACTCCTGGCTGGGACCAGCCGCTCTGGGTCATCCCATAGAGTGCACAGGGCTATTAACCCGCATTGTATGTGAGGAGGCAAGCATGCAGCTGAGAGCACCTTAGAGAGGATCCTGCACTGGGCCAGTTGCATGAATGGTGGAAACCTGCTAGAACCAGGAATAAGTTATTGCACCTTACCCCTGCACCCTTAGAGAATTATTTAACCCATGGAGTGTGAGGGTTCCACTGCAAGGGTAGATTTTGTTTCTTTACCAGAGATCAGCTAAATCTTTTAGATAGCCAAAAGATAAGCCTTCCCTGTTGGACATATAAAACAGACATTAGCAGTTTTGTAAAACGTCAATATATCATGTAATACTCCTGCATTAAAGTGGTTGTAAACCTCAGACATGAAATATGCGCAAAGTATATCCCTCTTTAGTGTGTGCTTGTCTCAATCCAGAGCACTGTCATTTGTGTCCTGCCCTTGTTCCTCTGCTATCAGCATGAGTCACTTCTGAAGAGTTTTCTGGCACCAAGAGAAAAATGGGAACGGGAGGGCACAGCCTGATTGACAGCCTCAGCTCTGTTCCTGTGTGAAGGAGGCTGTGTCCCATCCCTCCAATCCTTTTAGAGCTCTTCTCACTGATCTCTCCCCCCTGCTTTTCAAAGCTGAGATATCCGGTGTATATTCTGCACTTTGAATGGATATAGGGGAAAGACAGCAACAGATAAACAGGTACAACTTTTATATGAGGATTTGCTTCATCTCTGTCTATCACCCAGTCACTTTGCTAGGTATATGTGAGAGTTGACAACCACTTTAAATCAGACTTATAATCGAGAATGCTTTTGGCTTTGAACACCTCAGGTTATATTTCAGTCATGAAAGTACTAAAAAAAAAAAAAAAAAAAATTTTTGTACTTCACCCACATAATGCAGCATGGCTTGAGGGGCAACTCCTACAGACCAATCTGTATTAGGTTATAGGTCCACATTAACACTAAAATCTAGACAGGGGGCAGCACAGGGACCTAATGGTTAGCACTTCTGCCTGGCAGCACTAGGGCCGTTGGTTTGATTCCCAACCACGGCACCAACTGCCTGGAGTTTGCATGTGCTCCCTGTGCCTGCGTGGGTTTCCTCTGGGTACGCTGGTTTCCTTCCACACTCCAAAGACATGGTGGGAGGTTAATTGGATCCAGTCTAAATTGGTCCTAATATGTGTATGTATGAATGTAAGTTAGGGACCTTAGATTGTAAGCTCCTCAAGGGCAGGGACTGATGAGAATGTACAATATATATGTAAAGCACTGCGTAAATTGAGGGCGCTATAGAAGTACCTGAAAATAGAGAAAAAGCTAAACAAACAGGTGAAAAGGATAAGGGAGCTGTTTTACCAAACAATTTGTATTCTTGTCCATCCAGTTCTGAAATATACACAGCTCTGCCACCCCTCGCACCTCTGTCTGGCAGGGGAGGAGCCATCATTTTTCAATGCTGTAGTTCAGTAACATTTCCATTGGTCATACACAAATGTCAGCTGGTTTATCAGAGTCCACACACAATATGCATAGTACATGACCAGCTTAAAGTGACACTAAAGTATGTACTGATAACAAGTCCATTCTATTGCTCCTAGCTTCCTCCAAATTAATTTCTTTGGTACTATGACCTGACTTCCTGTTAGAGGGTGGAATATTCTCCATGGTCCCACTGTACAGAGGAATGTAGCCCCCCTCTCTTGCTCCTTCATGAGATGGACTATGGGATTTGTAGAATCCATAGAACTGTGCACATGACTGCAACTAATGTGCACTGCTCATTCCAAACAAATGGAAGTGAGTGGGAAAAGGAGAGGTGCCGGTGCTCATGGAGGATGTTACAAGGAGGCAGATTAAAAAAAAAAAGCAGTAAAACAATTTCATGACAGATTACAGGGCCATTAAAGTGTTACTAAACCCCAGACCCTGCATTCATTATATCTGGTCTCCCACAGTACACAGAACATGGATATTTTAGTAAATATAAAACTTATAAATACCTTTTCTCATCAGCAGTTAGAACAGTCTTGTGACACTATCAGTATCCAGCAGAGCACTAGTTAAAACTTGTGGAAGACTTCTTCATTCGCCTCTGACTATCCTATGAGGCTGCATAACCCCTGACCCTCTGTCTGGACAGCGCTGATTGGCCCTGTGCTGATCACATGCACTCTCCCAAGGGGGGGGGGGAAACTCTAGCCATACACACCAAACTGAGCATGTGCATTGCCCACAAGGCTCTGTTCTATCAGCAGATGGATTGGGGACAGAAGAAGTGGAGGATCAGAGAAGACAGGATCAAACCTGCTTTTTACACAGTGTGGAGGATTAACCCCTTAGGTTCCACAGTGAGTATAAGAAGCATGCTTTACTGCATATACAGACTGAATTTACTGTTGTGGGCTTAGAAACAATTTAAGTAGGAGAGGAGTATGGAATAATTTTGGAGAAGGATATCACTTTAAGCATTACTAAAAATTAGCTTAGTGGTAGGCCCTGTTGGTCACATTCCACCCAAACTTTGATCTTTCGAGTGAAAAATCAAAAGGAGCCTGGCGCAAAATTGTCCAAGAGCAGTTTGTGTATTTTGAAAGCCAATGGGGCTGGCGGTGAAAATACAATAGACGCAGCTAGAGATTCGTCCACCTATGCTGTATAGCATGGATGGGGGAATCGGTTAAAAAATATATGTGTATGGCTAGCTTTACAGGTAGGAAATTTTGCCTACTTCGGGTGCGCGAATCGAACATTTCCCGATCAGCCGGCAAAAGTGTCCCTGCAGTGAGCTCCGCTATTTCTGACAGTTCTCTGACAGAAGGAACACATGTTTAGCGGTTGAAACATTGTATCTATTAGTTTACATTTAGGATACAGATGTTTGAACCACTGTTCATGTGAAGAAGCTGTGAGAGAACTGTCAGAAATAGAGGAACTCTGCACATACACTTTTTTGCCGGCTTGGAATTATTCTTCTTTTCATCCTACTTCTTCTTTCTTCATCCTCAGAAGAAGAGGATGAGGATGAGGATGAAGAAGAAGAAGAAGAAGTAGGATGAAAAGAAAGAATAATTCCAAGCCGGCAAAAAGTGTATGTGCAGAGTTCCTCTATTTCTGACAGTTCTCTCACAGCTTCTTCACATGTACAGCGGTTGAAACATCATGTATCCTAAATGGAAACTAATAGATACAATTAGTAAACTAATTTGTATCTATTAGTTTCCATTTAGGATACAGATGTTTCAACCGCTGTACATGTGAAGAAGCTGTGAGAGAACTGTCAGAAATAGAGGAACTCTGCACATACACTTTTTGCCGGCTTGGAATTATTCTTCTTTTCATCCTACTTCTTCTTCTTCTTCATCTTCATCCTCATCCTCATCCTCATCCTCTTCTTCTGAGGATGAGGATGAGGATGAAGAAGAAGAAGAAGAAGCAGTAGGATGAAAATAAGAATAATTCCAAGCCGGCAAAAAAGTGTATGTGCAGAGTTCCTCTATTCTGCAGATACACTTAGAGGAGCTCTGCACATACACTTTATGAAGAAGAAGAAGAAGAAGTAGTGATGAAAATAAGAATAATTGCAAGCCGGCAAAAAGTGTATGTGCAGAGTTCCTCTATTCTGCAGATACACTTAGAGGAGCTCTGCACATACACTTTTTGCCGGCTTGGGTTAATCTTATTTTCCTATCCTACTTCTTCTTCTTCTTCTCTCCTCCTCATCCTCAGAAGAAGAAGAAGAGGATGAGGATGAGGACGAAGAAGAAGAAGAAGAAGAAGAAGAAGAAGTAGGATGAAAATAAGAATAATTTCCAAGCCGGCAAAAAGTGTATGTGCAGAGCTCCTCTAAGTGTAAGCTGCAGAGCTCCTCTAAGTGTATCTGCAGAATAGAGGAACTCTGCACATACACTTTTTTTCGGAAACCGCTGTATGGAGGGAACTCCATACAGCTGTTTCAACCGCTCATGGAACTGTCAGAACTGTCAGAAATAGACTATTAATGACAGTTCTGGGACTGTCCTTCCATACAGCGGTTGAAACATTGTATGTATTTTGTTTCCATAAATGGATCCATTTATGGAAACAAATACATACAATGTTTCAACCGCTGTATGGAAGGACAGTCCCAGAACTGTCATATAATAGTCTATTTCTGACAGTTCTATGACATTCCCTCCATACAGCGGTTGAAACAGCTGTATGGAGTGAATGTCCCAGAACTGTCAGAAATAGACTATTTATATGACAGTTCTGGGACATTCACTCCATACAGCGGTTGAAACATTGTATCTATTTTTTTTCCATAAATGACATTCTGCAGATACACTTAGAGGAGCGCTGCAGATACACTTTTTGCCGGCTTGGAATTATTCTTATTTTCATCCTACATCCTACTTCTTCTTTTTTCTTCTTATGAGGATGAAGATGAAGAAGAAGAATAGGATGAAAATAAGATTAATTCCAAGCCGGCAAAAAGTGTATCTGCAGCGCTCCTCTAAGTGTATTTGCAGAATGTCATTTATGGAAAAAAATAGATACAATGTTTCAACCGCTGTATGGGACAGTCCCAGAACTGTCATAAATAGTCTATTTCCTGACAGTTCTGGGGACATTCACTCCATACAGCTGTTTTCAACAACCGCTGTATGGAGGGAATGTCATAGAACTGTCAGAAATAGACTATTAATGACAGTTCTGGGACTGTCCTTCCATACAGCGGTTGAAACATTGTATGTATTTGTTTCCATAAAAAATGATCCATTTATGGAAACAAATACATACAATGTTTCAACCGCTGTATGGAAGGACAGTCCCAAACTGTCATTAATAGTCTATTTCTGACAGTTCCATGACATTCCCTCCATACAGCGGTTGAAACAGCTGTATGGAGTGAATGTCCCAGAACTGTCAGAAATAGACTATTTCTGACAGTTCTGGGACAATCACTCCATACAGCTGTTTTCAACCGCTGTATGGAGGGAATGTCATGGAACTGTCAGAAATAGAGACTATTAATGACAGTTCTGGGACTTACAATGTTTCAACCGCTGTATGGAAGGACAGTCCCAGAACTGTCATTAATAGTCTATTTCTGACAGTTCTATGACATTCCCTCCATACAGCGGTTGAAACAGCTGTATGGAGTGAATGTCCCAGAACTGTCAGAAATAGACTATTTATGACAGTTCTGGGACACATTCACTCCATACAGCGGTTGAAAACATTGTATCTATTTTTTTCCATAAATGACATTCTGCAGATACACTTAGAGGAGCGCTGCAGATACACTTTTTGCCGGCTTGGAATTATTCTTATTTTCATCCTACTTCTTCTTTTTCTTCTTATGAGGATGAAGAAGAAGAAGTAGGATGAAAAAATAAGATTAATTCCAAGCCGGCAAAAAGTGTATCTGCAGCGCTCCTCTAAGTGTATTTGCAGAATGTCATTTATGGAAAAAAATAGATACAATGTTTCAACCGCTGTATGGAAGGACAGTCCCAGAACTGTCATAAATAGTCTATTTCTGACAGTTCTGGGACATTCACTCCATACAGCTGTTTCAAACCGCTGTATGGAGGATCCATTTATGGATATGAAAACAAATACATACAATGTTTTCAACCGCTGCATGGAAGGACAGTCCCAGAACTGTCATTAATAGTCTATTTCTGACAGTTCCATGACATCCCTCCCTCCTCATACAGCGTTGAAACAGCTGTATGGAGTGAATGTCTCCCTTCTTCTCTCCTTCAGAAATCTCCTTCTCTCATCCTGTCACAGAACTCATCCTTCTTCTCATCCTTCTTCTCTTCCTTCTTCTCCTCCTTCCTCCTCTTCTCATCCTTCTCCTTCTTCTCATCCTTCTCCTTCTCATTCCTCATCCTTCTCCTTCTCCTTCTTCTCATCCTTCTCCTTCTCCTTCTTCTCATCCTTCTCATCCTTCTTCTCATCCTTCTCCTCTCCTTCTTCTCTTCTTCTCTCATCCTTCTCATCTTCTCCTTCTCCTCCTCTTCTCATCTTCTCATCCTTCTCCTTCTTCCTTCTCCTTCTCCTTCTCTTCTCCTTCTCCTTCTCCTTCTCCTCTCTCATCCTTCTCCTTCTCCTCTTCTCATCCTTCTCCTCCTTCCCATCTTCTCATCCTTCTCCTTCTTCTCATCCTTCTCCTTTCTCCTTCTTCTCATCCTTCTCCTTCTCCTTCTTCCTTCTCCTTCTCCTTCTCCTTCTTCTCATCCTTCTTCTCCTTCTTCTCATCCTTCTCCTCTCCTTCTTCTCCTTCTCTCTCCTTCTCCTTCTCCTTCTTCTCCTTCCTTCTCCTTCTCCTTCTCTCATCCTCTCCTTCTCCTTCTCCTTCTTTCTCATCCTTCTCCTTTCTCCTTCTTCTTCTCATCCTTCTCCTTCTTCTCATCCTTCTCCCTTCTTCCTTCTTCTCATCCTTCTCCTTCTCCTTCTCCTTCTCCTTCCTTCTCTCTTCTTCTCATCCTTCTCCTTCTTCTCATCCTTCTCCTTCTCCTTCTTCTCATCCTTCTCCTTCTTCTCATCCTTCTTCTTCTTCTTCTCATCCTTCTCCTTCTTCTCATCCTTCTCCTTCTCCTCATCCTTCTCCTTCTTCTCATCCTTCTCCTTCTCCTTCTTCTTCATCCTCCTCCTTCTCCTTCTTCTCATCCTTCTCCTTCTCCATCTTCTCATCCTTCTCCTTCTCCTTCTTCTCATCCTTCTCCTTCTTCTCATCCTTCTCCTTCTCCTTCTCCTTCTTCTCATCCTTCTCCTTCTTCTCATCCTTCTCCTTTCTCCTCATCCCTTCTCCTTCTTCTTCTCATCCTTCTCCTTCTCCTTCTCATCTTCTCTCCTTCTCCTTCTTCTCATCCTTCTCCTTCTTCTCATCCTTCTCCTTCCTCTTTCCTCATCTCCAAGGGCATTTAAATTAAAGGTACAGTGTTCTGCACTAATTTAAAGGCTCTCTGAAGCCTAGAAACCCTTTTTATAAGTCATCTTCGTAGCGAAGAAATTCGCATCGAATCGAATTTCACACTGGAATTCGCCGAATCAGCCGAATCGAATTTTTGAGAAATTCGCTCATCGAACTGACTGTCACTCTGCTCTCTCCTCCTATGAGCATGTTACTTGCACTGCAGCACAACATACCAGCTTATTGTGCTGTGCTGCTTCCCAACTCCCCCATCTAGCCTCTGCTGTACAGGGAGTGTAAGCGGCTGATCCCAAGTCAAAAAACAAAGGTGCTTAGACTGCTTGCATTAAAAAAAAAGAAAACGTTTTAGCCCCTTTTAAACAGAGCATCCTGGGGCAGAGGAGCAGATCACATTCCTCTATAGCTCTACGCATGTCGTGGTTCTCGCTTTTATTCCGTTCATAATACAGAAATAAGTCAATGTGAAGACATTATTAAAAATGACCCTTAGATTGTACGCCCCTTGAGGGTTAGGGACTGATGTGAATGTACTATATATATATATAAATTGCCTAAATTGGTACAGTGCTATACAAGTACCTGTAAATAAAAACAAAATAAATAAAATGACCCAGTTTGCCCGCAACGTCCTCACGGTTTTGGATTTTTCTAATCAACATAAAGTCCTGTCTTCTGCTACTTGACAAATGTTAAAATTTAAAAAAAAAAAAAAAATGTTTTTTTTTTTCTTAAAGAAAAGGCAGTTCTGGATATCTACTATTGGTATACACAGTGCTGTCTTATTGTAGGATCTATCAGCTACACTTAATATCACCAGCAGGTGGTGCTGCTCACACAATCTAAAATAATAAATTGCTATTCGCTGAAGAACGCAATAAAAAGTGGCAAACCAGCGCTTTAGACTTTTTTTGAGCAAAAAAAATTTTTTTTTTTTACAAAAAAACGCAAACATGGAAGAAAAAAACACGGCTAAACACTAAAAGCAAAAACGCTGAAAAACTCACATTTTTAATGTGACTTTACACAGCTAACGCTACCAGCGTCATTAGAACGACCAGTGTGCATGGAGCCTTATAATGGGAGAGAAGGGGGGGGGGTCGTTAATAATTTAAAAAATACTTTCAAATAGACTATTAACATTCAGAATCCTGAATTATTTGTATCTGTAAAGGACCAGCCCTTACTTTAGAGACAAAACATCTGAAATCAGCTCCCAGTTTCAACAGCATTGGCATTGATTTGCAAATGGGCTGTTCACCTTGCAAGAGAATTTTCCTCTCAATTGTGAATGTATTTTTGCTTGCATATAATTGGATGATGGAGGTCAGCAGAGCTTGCAAAGTGAACAGACTCTGCCCTTAGTGAATCAGCAGCAAATACAGACTCAAGCCAGTTTGTTCTCTATAAGATGTCATTGGGGATAATCTGCACCTGCACTGTGAACCACATTCAACTAAGTGCTGGGTTGACTGTTTAGTATGCCGTTGGGGAACATGAGATACAAATACATTTTTATTTCTGTTATAGTCCCTCCCCCATATCCTGCTTGGGGACAGGGGGTCACGGGGACAGCTGGTAAAGGAAAATCATTCCATTAACCATATACCAGGCCAATGCATAAATCAACATTTTCTTTTTGATAGAAATTAGTTAGAACCCCTAAACATTATGTTATTTTTCAGAGGTCCAAGAGAATAAAATGGTGGGTGTTGCAATTTTTTATATCACATGGTAATTGTGCAGCAGTTTTTCAAAATGTTGGGGAGAAAAAATACACTTTAATGAATTTAATTGCACAGTATATAATACCAAAAGTTTTGGTAAAATATAAAAAGAGGATGTTGCACTAAGTAAACAGATACCCAACATCTCATGCTTTAAATTTGTGTATGCAACTACAGTACCTAAAACTCTCCATAGGCGACGCAACGATACCACACGTGTGGCGCAATCACCGTATACATTTGTGTTAGACTTGTATGTGTTTGTATTTGTGCATAAGCACCAGGGAAGGAGTGGGGGGTGGGAGCACTTTACTCTTTTTATTATTAGTTATTTTATTTAAAACTTTTTTTTTTTTACACTGCCTTTTATTCATCAACTTTATTGCCCTCACAAAGTATGAACAAAATCCCTTTGTGACAGCATAGGCAGTGACAGGACCTCTTTATGGATAGATCTGGGGTCTATTAGACCCCAGATGTCTCCATTGGCCTCCAATGCAGCTGATTAGACACAGAGCAGTTTGTGTGGCTGCTTTCCTGGCCAGGTAAACAAAACTGAAACTGGAAGTGACTAAATTTGCGTTGTAGTTTCTGGAGTCACAAAGAGGGAGAAACAACATCCACTGCCGCTGGTCAGAGGGGGATCGGACAGGAGAGGCAGCAGCAGCCCCTTCCACTACCCTCAGAAGTGATCAAGTGGCTGTTGAGCCACTCTAATCATTTGTGCTTAAAAGAGAATCGTCGTTTGTAAATTTTGATACTGAGATAGATAAAGCCTACTGGCGTAGGCATCAGCCCGGTATAACCATTTTACTCCCAGAACGTCATATGACGTCCACCCAGGGGAAGTGGTTAAGCACAGGGACAGGAAAATAAAAAAAAAAAACACTTGTATACAGACTCCATAGCCTGTCTGGTAAGATGCCAACTAGTTTGGAAGGCATTTGGAGCATCTAAAAAAATCTTATAATAAATATTGGGGGAACATGTAAACTCCATGTAGGTTTTGTCCTTGGAAGAATTTTGAATCCCAGAGTACAAGGCAGGATTGGGAACAATAAACAAATAATGGCTGTTGAAGGTATTTGCAGACACCTTGTGGTCCCTACATGAGAAAGCTGATTCCACCTTTGTAATACAATGTACTATGAAGTCAAAGGGATCCAGTACTTTTACAATGTGCAGCTTAGAAATTGGGTTCTTCGCTTCCTTAGTTGAAATTCCATACCTAGTAGGTCTTAAAGAGGTAGAGCTCCCGTTCCTGTGACACGGTGGTGCAACAGAGGGGCTTGGCTAGGAAAGACCGGATCACTCCAAATGCTAATTTTTCAGCTAGGCTCTGGTGAAGCCAGACTTTGTCTACAGGTATAACATTTAAACTCAGGATCCGTTTTAAGTACTGAGTCACCTTGACTGCAGAGTACATTTTATTATAAAGGTGAACCTTGTTGTTAAACTGCAATGTTAGGTATGAAATGTAGTCGGAAGTAACATGCCCACTTTAAAAGACACTACGAGAACAGGCAAGTTATAAAGCTTTATGAGCAGGGATGCAGTATCATTAATTAGTCTTGATTTTTATATAATGTGATGCTAAAATAATATGAACAGTGTCATTTTTAATTTATAAATATTATAAATTCTGACAATATTTTAGGTTACTCATATAAACACTGATAAAACAGTTTGTGTGTAATAACAATTCAGATTCAATACATTACTGCAGTCTGCCAAGCAGTTATGAAAAATGGTGGCTTACTTAAAAGAAGCAACACAAAAGGCAACAATGTATGTGGATATACCCATGGAATCTAGTCAAGTACTACTTATCAGGTTAAAGCAGCCATTCTCAGCCAGGGTCCCATGGAAATCTAGGGTTCCTCCAGAGGTCACTAGTCATTCCTTGAGCTGTGATTGACGTTCTGATGGTGCCTGCATAGTTCCGGAATGAAGGCCACTTGGCAGAGCCAGCAGCATGACACCAGAGATCTTTTTAGCTGTCTGTAGGTGGGGCATTCTAGCAACAGGCCACCAATGAAAGGGGCATTCTTTTAATTGGCCACCAAGGAAAGGACATTCTTCCAACTGGCTGCCATTGTATGGGACATTCTATCAACTGGACACCAAGATAAAGGACATTTTCCAACTGGCCACCAATGTAAGGGACATTCTTCCCACTGATCACCGATGTGAGTGACATTCATTCAACTGCCCACCAATGTAGAGGACATTCTTTCAACTGGCCATCAAGTTATAGACATTCTTCCAACTGGCTACCAAGATAAAGGACTTTTTTCAATTGGCCACCAATGTAAAAGACATTCTTCCCACTCACCACCAATGTAAGAGACATTCATTAAACTAGCAACCAATGAAGGGGACATTCTTCGAGCTGGTCAGCAATGTAAGGGACATTCTTCCCACTGACCACCAATGTAAGTCACATTTTTTCAACTAGCCATCAAATTCTGGGCATTCTTCCAACTAGCCACCAATGTAAGGGACATTCTTTTACCTGGCCACCAAGATAAAGGGCTTTTTTTTTTAATTGGCCACCAATGTAAAAGACATTCTTCCCGCTGACCACCAGTGTAATAGACATTCAATAAACTGGCAACCAATGTAAGAATGTAATGCAGGCCATAGATGGGTCGAAAATCGTCCGTTTAGTGGGTTAATTGGTCAGCCATTTTTCAGGGTTTTGGCACATTTTTTTTATCGGTAAAGTTGGAAAAAAATTGGCCGATTTTGCTGATCGGCCAATTTTCCCAGCAATGATCGGCAAATCAGCCGCTCGTTTTACCGATAAAAAAAATCTGCGCATGAGCCGTGACCTGAAAGAAAAAAGGAAAAAAGGGAGAAAAAGAAGAATTCCAGTCCGCTATTATATTTGACATGAAAAAGTATTGCGGTTGCAACAATGTATCTATTTGTATCCGAATAAAACCATCTGTATCTGAAATGAATACAAATGGATACATTGTTGCAACTGCAATACTTTGAGCTCTCTGCAAGGGACAGAAGTAATTAAATGCCGGCCGTAGACGGGAAGAAAATCGGCTGATTTTTTTTTACCATTGGTGGTAACGTCGGCCTATTGAACGACCAATTTTTCGTTTTTTTTTTTTTTTTAAAACAGCTGTTTTTTTGACCCGTCTATGGCCTGCATAAGGATTTGCTGTTATACTCCAATAAAAATTTGTTTGGATAAAAAAAAAAAAAAAAAAGAATGTAGCTGGTCACCAATGTAAAGGACATTCTTCCAACTGGCCACCAATGTAAGGATATTCTTCCCAAGGACCACCAATGTAAGATACATTCTTCCATATGGCCACCAATGTAAGGGATATTCTTCCCGCTGACCAACAATGCAAGATACATTCTTCCCACTGACCACTAATGTAAGGGATATTTTTACCACCAACCCTCGATCAATTAGTTTAAAAGGGATCTGGGAAATATTTCAAGGGTTCCACTGGGATAAAAAGGTTGAGAAAGGCTGGTTTAAAGCATCAAAACAATGAAAAATGATTGGTTTTGACAAGTAGCTGCATACTGGTTCTGCTTTATTAGGTAAGCCTAAACATGTGGAACAGTTTCTAAAGACCTCTACTTTGTACAGTGTTTTCAAGTATTAGATTGTAAAATACCAGTGCACTGGACCACCACAGACTTGAATACATTTGTCTACTTCTAAATCCTAAATGCCACATGGATGTTTACCAAAACAGACAACACACATGACAGCTCCACAATAGGAGCAGACATCATAAGGAAAAGTGCAACAGATGTATATTGTTTCATATGTGCTGCAGCACAGTTGTCACAAATAGAATAATGGTTACTCGCTTTGACTCATCAAGGTACAATTGCACCTACGGTGTGCCAAAGTGGCCTCTCAAGCAGTTTTATCATTTAAGATTGCTTGAGAGGCTACTCTTGCATGCCTAAAAATTCTTATGCAGCTTGATGAATCTGGAACACTGTCAGAGACGTGTCTTCACAGCTACACATTTCTGTATTGCTCAGTTTGCCATTTAATGCTATAAACACGGCGAAAATCACTTTTAAAACCAGCCTCTCATGAATTGACAGCTGTCACCGTAGTTATTTAATGGAAAAAAAAAATGTGGCTTTTCTGTGCAAAATGTTTGCAGCTAACATATTTGTTGCGCTTGTATAAAAGTCTCTCAACAGCTATTAGTTGAGGTTGATCTTATTTTTGGATTGTCTAATAATGCTGAAGTAAACAGCACACTGCACATCCCAAAGGTGTCATTACTGATTGTCATATAGTGTATATGTCTGTGTAACCATCCCCCTCTGCTGGTTATCTGAGGAAGTGCGGCCAGTACAATAGCAGCCAGATGCCCTGTTTGGGTATAAGAAAATAAGGTGCCTCTGCTCTCGGCCATTGTATGTCTCTCATTTCCAGTGTAAAAATAAATGCTTTACCATTTGCCGTCAGCAATAAAGCTTGCCCATTCCAGCACTGAAATGGCTAGTAACAATTGTAAACAATCACATTTAACCCTGTTGAACGGAGAGGGGGCTTGTGTTCTCCAGTCTCGGAAGTCCAAGCAGCTTTTCCACCATCATTCTGCAATAGAATTGTTATTTACGTGACTGCGTTTACAGTCTCTCTCCTGTCTGTGGAGGAATCAGCTTTTACCAGTCACTGATTCCCTTCATTGCGTAGCAGGCAAAGACAGCGTAATACATTAAAAAATGAAGTGGAGTATTGGCTTCCCAAGACTAGCACGTAGAGTTCCTCTTATGGTATTGCTGGATCAGAGGCACCAGACATTCTGGCAGGCCGGCCTGAAGGAGGAAAAAGTGGTCTAGAAGTTCCTTGGCTGTGGCTCGTTCTGCCGCCTCCCGTGTCAACATCCGATCCAGGAAATCTCTGAGAACCGGCGAAACCTAGGGAAGTAGTAGGAGCAATCAGTGCTTAGAAATATTCTCATCCACTACTCCTGAAATGGCTTTTGCTGCTGGATACACAACAGAGAGTGAGAGGAAATCTCCCCAACTAGACAAACAAAGACGACAAAAAAAAGCGCACACCCAGAATATTGCCCGCACCACTATATATTTGGTAAAAAAGTTCTATACCGGAAAATGGTAAATCAACAACTGAAGTAAACCAACCCTACCATGTAATACCCCCACCTGCAGACACGCTAAAAGCTATTAAAATATCACTACACAAAAACTACCAAACTAAATCTGACAAAAATATTGTATCTAATGCAGGCCATACATGGGTCAAATTCCAAATGAATTTTCTTTAAAAAAATCAGAAATTATGTGCGTTTTGTAATCCAATGGTGCCACCATTGATTTTGAAATTCAACTGACCAACCCTTCAATTTTATCTCATGAAAAGAATTTTCATGGCCAAGAATTTCCTTTTCTTTCCAGGTCACAGCTCACGCTCATTTCTTTTTCATTTATATTTTTACACGATTCTCCCATCATTGATTCCAAATCCGTTTGTTTTTCAGAAAATTTCCAACATGCCCGATCACTCAAATTCGATAGTCACACAAAAACCGGCCGTTTCTGTGCCCCACTGATGGTGCGAAATTCGAACAACAATTCTTAGAAAAGATTTTCGAATGACAATTCTTAGAAAAGATTTTCGAACGAAAATTCTTTCAGAATTCAACCCATATATGGCCGGCTTAAAACCAGGGTATCATGGAGCTTTTTTGGGGTACTAACCATGGTCAATATCAATGTTGCATAATCACATACTGTATATTAAATGCCTAAAGTTTTATAGTTAGTTTGAAAAAAAGACAGGTCTACCAATAGAAAAAATAAATACAGTAAATAGAAAACTTCCATATACATAATCTTATACCCAAAGTTGATCCTGAGGAGGGAAACCCCCCCCCCCCCATGAAGCCTGATTCCAGGTGTGGAGGGAGGCAGAAACTCCTGCCTGAACCCCAAAGACAATTAATGTAATATAAACCTGTGTAATATAACATCTGACCACTAGGGGTTTGCAAATCTCTTTTCCCTAATTACAGATTTTTTTTTCCTCCCCTTGTCGGTGTAAATATATCCATTTGTCCTGACACAACAAACCTGTACACCTTACAAGTTTGAATTACAAAATAGGTCTTAATATTTCTGATAAGACATAGATAAGTAAATATTGCTGACATAATCAAATGATGTCACTCACTTTGTGAGAGTTCCTCAGCTTTGGAGGAGGGTTGTCCCGCAACCTTTTCATGGCCTGCACAGGAGAGTCGCTGAAATATGGAGGTTCACCATCAACCATCTCAATTACCATGATCCCCAAAGACCAGATATCCACCTGGGGAGCCATAGAGGAAATGAAGGACTAATGTAGACAGAATCAAGTCAAACTCAATAAAAGACTAGTAATTGGAACACAATGCATAAGGTTTCTGAGAAACTATCTGGTTAAACACAAACCAGGCATCAGTAAATGGCGGACCGCGGTCCAGATGCGGACCTAGACACTGTTTTATCCGAACCTGATCGCGCCATTTAGAAGCCACTTCTTTCCCCCCATCCTCCGCAGCTACTATAACAGCAGAGTGGCCATCAGGAGACTGGACATTGTTATTGTAGTTATAAACAGCGGTGGAGGATGGAGGGAAAGAAGCGGCTCTGTCCAATGATGTGCTGTGCTTCCCACACCTGATCCAGAAATCCTCCGCCTCCTGCTCTCCGCTCTATGGTAGGAGAATGAAGGGGGGCCAGGGACACTACTCTCTGGCTGTGTGTGTGATATCGAGGGGGACAAAATGGGAATAAGGGCAGTGCTGTGTGCATGTGGTGGTGGTGGGAGGTGATGTAAAGGGGGCAGTGCTGTGAAGGGGTGATGTAAGGGGGCAGTGCTGTGAAGGGGTGATGTAAGGGGGCAGTGCTGTTGGGGGGTTGATGTGAGGAGGGCAGAGAACACTATTTTTGAGGGGGGATTTGTGAGGAGGGAGGCAATGATGTGGTAGGGAGATGTGAAGAGGACAGTACTGTGGGGTAGGGTTGATGTGAGGAGGGCAGAGTATACTACTGGGGGGGGGGTGTGAGGGGGTCAGTGCTGTGTGTGCGGGGGGGGGGGGGGGGTTGATGTAAAAGGTCAGAGAACATTACTGTTAGGGGGGGGATGATGTGAGGGGGGGCAGTGCTGTTGGGAGTGATGTAAAGGGAGGCAGTGTTGTGGGGGGTTGTGAAGGGGGCACAGTTCTACTGGGGGTTATGTAAAGGGCCAGAGGACAGTATGTGGGGGAGAGATCTGAAGGGGGCAGAGGACAGTACTGAGGGGGGATGTGAAGGGGGCAGAGGACAGTAGTGTGGGGGGATGTGAAGGGGGCAGAGGACAGTAGTGTGGAGGAGAGATGTGAAGGGGGCAGAGGACAGTAGTGTGGGGAAGAGATGTGAAGGGGGCAGAGGACAGTAGTGTGGGGAAGAGATGTGAAGGGGGCAGAGGACAGTAATGTGGGGGAGAGATGTGAAGGGGGCAGAGGACAGTAGTGTGGGGAAGAGATGTGAAGGGGGCGGAGGACAGTAGTGTGGGGAAGAGATGTGAAGGGGGCGGAGGACAGTAGTGTGGGGGAGAGATGTGAAGGGGGCAGAGGACAGTAATGTGGGGGAGAGATGTGAAGGGGGCAGAGGACAGTAATGTGGGGGAGAGATGTGAAGGGGGCGGAGGACAGTAGTGTGGGGGAGAGATGTGAAGGGGGCAGAGGACAGTAATGTGGAGGAGAGATGTGAAGGGGGCAGAGGACAGTAATGTGGGGGAGAGATGTGAAGGGGGCGGAGGACAGTAGTGTGGGGGAGAGATGTGAAGGGGGCAGAGGACAGTAATGTGGAGGAGAGATGTGAAGGGGGCAGAGGACAGTAATGTGGGGGAGAGATGTGAAGGGGGCAGAGGACAGTAATGTGGAGGAGAGATGTGAAGGGGGCAGAGGACAGTAGTGTGGAGGAGAGATGTGAAGGTGGCAGAGGACAGTAATGTGGAGAGATGTGAAGGGGGCAGAGGACAGTAGTGTGGAGGAGAGATGTGAAGGGGGCAGAGGACAGTAGTGTGGGGAAGAGATGTGAAGGGGGCATTGGACAGTAGTGTGGGGAAGAGATGTGAAGGGGGCAGAGGACAGTAGTGTGGAGGAGAGATGTGAAGGGGCAGAGGACAGTAGTGTGGGGGAGAGATGTGTAGGGGCAGAGGACAGTAGTGTGGGGGAGAGATGTGTAGGGGCAGAGGACAGTAGTGTGGGGGAGAGATGGGAAAGGGCAGAGGACAGTAGTGTGGGGGAGAGATGTGAAGGGGGCAGAGGACAGTAGTGTGGGGGAGAGATGTGAAGGGGGCAGAGGACAGTAGTGTGGGGGAGAGATGTGAAGGGGGCAGAGGACAGTAGTGTGGGGGAGAGATGTGTAGGGGCAGAGGACAGTAGTGTGGGGTGGGGGTGATGATTTGAAGGGGAGTTGAGGACTGCTGAAAATAATGGGGGTGTACTGTACTAATGGGGGGGGGGGAACTGATGACACTGAAGTATATGGATTGTGATATAAAGTAGGAGAGGGCTGGAAAAAAATATGCAGTTCGGACCTCTGTTGGAAGAAAACTTTACTGGTCGGACCTCCATGAGTTTTAATTCAGTACCCCGGACACAGACTGAAGTCCAGTATAGATATAGGTAAGTCATCTAGGAGTTTACCTCTGTGCCATATGCAGACCTCAGTATGACCTCTGGTGCCATCCAGTATGGGGTACCCACCAATGACTTCCTTTTAGGAACATCTTTGCTAATTTGCGCACAGAACCCAAAGTCAGAAAGCTTCACCTAGAAACAAGAAAACATTTCTTTGGTATTATAACTATATAATATGCTACAAAACCTTTTTATGTGTTTGTAAAAACAGAAAATCCATAAGGGCTAATTCACACTGCGCGTGGTGACAGATGTTTTATTGCACTGTAAAACGTATGTCACCGCAAGGACACATAGGAAACAACTGATTCCAATGTGTGCCTTTCACACTGCAACGCAGCCTAGGGCTGTGCTGCATTGTGCTACGATAAAATGCAGACATGACGCATTTTATTACAGCGCACAGAATTGCATTGCACTGTATGACAGTGCAGCATACCACGCTGCTGCACAGTGCCATGAAGTGTACATTATGTACACTTCCAATAAAGATTATACAAAACAAAAAAAAGGGAGTTGTATGATGCCGTGAATTGAGCACCACACTGCCCCCTACTGCAGCTGGAAACAGTTGCCGATCCAATAAAACACTCTGGCTGCTGTCCATTATAGTCAATCCCATACCTGATGGTCTGTTGAGGAAGCTAAAAATCACTGTAGTAGTCGGGGTAGTGATGTCACCGTCGGCAATTGTTCAAATAAAGAACACCTTGTATTCATTGAAAAAGGTATTCTATGAATGGCAGAGGGGCCCTGTGTTCTGTGTAGAGGAAGAGCCACTCCAGCAGAGCACAAGCTGGCCCCAAAGACCGCAGCTATGCTAGTAGTGCCCACTACTACAGCGATTCTCAGCTTTCCCAGAAGCCCATTGGGTAAGAGATACACATACTTAGATACTGGGCTATTGCAAGTAATTCAGATCATTCATGACGTTCAGCTCTGAAAGATTCACCCCCTTTCCTGACCAGGCCATTTTTTACGGCGTTCGTTAGTTTAACTGACAATTGCACGGTCATGCAACACTGTACCCAAATTAAATTTATGTCCTTTTTTTCCCAAATAGAGCTTTCTTTTTGGTGTTATTTGATCACCTCTGAGGTTTTTATTTTTTGTTTTATAAACAAAAAAAGGCCAGCAATTTTGAATAAAAACTTTATTTTCTACTATAAAACATATCCAATAAAAAAATATAATCAAAATTTCTTCATAAAATTAGCCAAAAAAGTATTCTGCTACATTTTTTGGTAATAAAAAATCCCAATAAGCATATATTGATTAGTTTGCACAAACGTTAGAGCATCTGAAAACTATGGGAAATATACTGGAATTATTTTTTGTATACTAGTAACGGCGGCAATCAGCGACTTATCTGCGATATTGCAGTGGACATTTTTTACACAAAACTGACACTTTGTGGGAACCAGTGACACTAATACAGTGATCAGTGCTAATAAATATGCACTGGTCACTGTATGAATGACAGCTAGCTATGTGCTTGGTGTACACTAGGCGGTGCTGGTACAAGGGGAAGTGATGGATCGTGTCCCCAGCTCTGCTCTGACACACGATCGATCGCTCCCCGCTTTCAGAACAGAGCTCTGCCTAAGTAACTATTGGTTCGCCAGGACTCGCAGATTGGCTTCTGCTTTGACAGTTCACAGCAGAAGTGATCTGCCAGCTGTGTGTGTGCCCCGTGAGGCGGAATTGCCAGTCCGTCATTTCCTTATACGGAGGTGGTTAACGGATCAGTGTTTTTTTTTTTTCTTTTTCATGTTTTTGTTTTCTTAAACTCTCCGCTGTCCTCCCTGGTCATTCTTACTGCCTAAAAACTCTTCTCTCAAGCACATCCTATTCACACCCAGGGGCAGACTGACAACTCATGGGGCCCCCGGGCAATAAGGGATCATGGGGGCCCTGTGGCCTTGCCCAAACTCAAAAAAGCCTATGAAAAAAGGTACCAGGGGCATCTCATGGGGCCCGCTACTGACCCCGGGTCCTCAGGCAGTGCCCGAGTTTCCAAATGGTCAGTCCGCCTCTGTTCACACCTGAACATAGTAGAAATGTGCGTTCCCGCTTAGGTTTTTTTTTTGCACATTTTTCACAAATATCCGAACGCAGAACAATCTAAATTGAAAATGCTCATTTTGCTTCATGTTTCCAAAACCCGCGGCACAACATGCATCACGCATGAGTTGCCATTTAGTTCATATCTGCATGTTTCCAAACGTGCTGAAACCCACACAGAAAACACATGGCGAAGTCGTGTTGCACTCGCATTGCCATTTAGACTGTGTCCACATCTACCTGATTCCAAGCATGCAGCAACCGCACAGAAAATACACATTTTGGTAACGCACAGAAAATGCACGTTGCCATTTAGGCTGTGTTTGCATCTGTGCATTTTCAAGTGTGCAGCAAACCTCACAGAAAAACGCACACTTTGATGTGCATTTTCGAAAATTTGTGTCACGCTTGCATTGCCAAATAAGCTGCGTTCGCATCTGCACATTTCTGAATGCGCATCAACTCACACAGAAAATGGATGCTTTGCGGCACTTTCAGATACATGCATCACACTTGCGTTGCTATTATGGCAACGCAAGCTTGATGCCGGTTTGCAGCTCATTTCCAAAATGTGTGCAGGCTTGCCAAGCAATCGGAAATATGCAGCCTGATTGTTATTGACATCCTAATCATGGTTAGCAGACGCATGTTTTTCCACGAGACAAAAAATGTGCATTAAAAAGCCACATGACACTCCACTACCGAAAACATTCTAGAGTTACTTTGGGGCATTTGTCACATGTGAGGAAACCCATTCAAGTGACAAGTTTATTCTTGAAAAACGCACAAGAAAAACACAAGGAGGAACACATATTTCTGCTATGCTCAGGTGTGAATGGAATGTGCTTGGGAGGAAGTTTTTAGGCAGCAAGGATGACCAGAGAGAAGACGTGAGGGTTAGAAAAAGAAACACTGATCCATCAAAGTTGTATAGCAATGCTTCTCATCTATGCTGATGCGACTTCTGTGAGTAAAGTCGCATTGAAGTTGCGACAAAGTCGAATCAAAATCGCAAGCAAGTCGCACTGCATAGTGGCACTGGAAATTGCATTGGCATTGCATGAAAAACTCATTAGAATAGTGGGAGGAGAGAACCAGGGAAGAGAGGTAAGGGTTAAAAAACACAACTGATCCATCTTAGTCGCATAGCAATGCTTCTCATCTATGCTGATGCAACCTCTGAGTAAAGTCGCATTGAAGTTGTAACAAAGTCAAATCAAAGTCACATGCAAGTCGCGCTGCATAGTGACATTGGAAATCACACTGGAATTGCATTAGAATAGCGATACGCATGAAACGCGTTAAATTTAATGCAACGTAGCAAAAACGCATATTCATTTTTGATACAGAGCAGTGTGAAAGTAGCCTTTGAGGACCTGTATTAGAGCTTGATGAAGAGTCTTTCAAAAAGACCTTCAAGTGAGATGAACTCAGTACACATCCAGGAATGACTCTGCAAGGGACGTTATGAACCTCTGCAGAGAGACCACTGTTTAGCAAGCAAGGGTCCTTCTCTGCAGCATGTTAGCAGTAAACAGGATTTATACTCAGGCCGTGGCTTCTTTCTAAGGAAAAACAATTGTCCCATTGAATTTTCTTCCCTATTTACCAAAAACACCTGTAACTTAAAGTGTTACTAAACCCACAACAGTAAAATCAGTCTATATATGCAGTAAAGCATGCTTGTTATACTCACTGTGGAACCTAAGGGGTTAATCCTCTGCATTGTGTAAAAAGACTGTTTGAACCTGTCTTCTCTAACCTTCCCCTTCTTCTACTGTTCCCAATCCATCTGCTGATAGACCAGAGCCTTAGGGGCAAGCTGCACATGCTCAGTTTGGTGTGTATGGCCAGAGCGTTTTTTTTTTTTCTTGGGGGAGTGTGTGCGATCAGCACAGGGCCAATTAGCACTGTCCAGACAGAGGGTCAGGGGTAATGCAGCCTTACAGGACAATCAGGGGAGAATGATAACTCCTCCTACAAGCTCTAACCAGTGCTCTGCTGGACACAGCACTGTCTTAATGCATGGACACCCCTGGGCACTGCCCAAGGGCCTCAGGTGCATGGGGGCCCCATGATAATCTTGCATTACATCATACTTGCAAACTGTCCCAGATTTGCTGGGACAGTCACGCTTTTTACTAAGCTATCCCGGGATGGCAGTGTCCCAGATCCTGTACTGTGCCCTCCTGATCCCAGTATGGTGCCTTCTTGATCCCCTCCTGTACTGTGCCCTCCTGACTCCTCCCTGTACTGTGCCCTCCTGACTCCCCCCTGTACTGTGCCCTCCTGACTCCCCCCTGTACTGTGCCCTCCTGGCTCCCCTTGTACTGTGCCCTCCTGGCTCCCCCCTGTACTGTGCCCTCCTGACTCCCCCCTGTACTGTGCCCTCCTGACTCCCCCCTGTACTGTGCCCTCCTGACTCCCCCCTGTAGTCTACCCTTTATGTTGATTACCTTTGATTGATGGCATTTTTTCTTATTGTTTAAAATTGATTTTATTAAATAAAGTACTGATAAATATATATTTAATTCTACTAACTATTTATACTTTAACTCTTGAGCATATGTGCGTAAATTGGGGCAGGCTGGTAGGGGCCCCAGTGCATTACTTTGCCCAGGGGCCTATGATGCTATTAAGGTGGCCCTGGCTGGACGCTGATAGAAGTCACAAGACTGCTCTAACTGCTGGTGAGAAAAGGTATTTAGCAGTTTATATTTACTAAAATAATTGCATTTCCATGTTGTGTGTACTGTGGGAGACCAGATATATAAGTAACTGAAATAAATAAATAATAAATATAGTGAATGCCGGGTCCTGGGTTTAGTAACACTTTAAAAGAACTAAAAATATACATTCTTGTGATTAAAATGCTGTTACCTGTTATATCATGTACAATGTAATCCTAAAGCTGAAAAAAAAGCAATGGCTGCTCACCCGTCCATCCAGCGTAAGAAGGATGGAGTCACTCTTGATGTCTCGGTGTATGACCCCCTGGGAGTGCAAGTACTCAAGAGCTTGCAGCACAGACTTACAGACAGTAGCAATTTGCTCCTCGTTCAGCCTAGAATGGAGAACAAAGGTGTAAGACCTCATTTAGATGTACAAGAGGGTAATATATTTTATAGAACGTCAAAGGTGATATACATTGTTTATCAGGTGAAAAAATAAAACCCAGTCACCAAGACTAACAACTCTCTTTTCATATTCTCTATCGTCACATTTTATATGGCCAGACAAGAATCTGTTCTGATAAAAGGTCCTAGTTCGGCCAGATTTCAAGCATTTCAATACCCTTAGCACATGCAGGAGCTTTCACCTACCTGGTCTGTGACACAATGTCAGTCAGAGCACCACCTTGCACATACTCCATCATGACCCATAGTTCTTCTCCTACAAGATAGCTCTTGTACATTTCCACTACATTGGAATGTTGATAGTCCCTCATGATTACAACCTGTGTACCGCACAAAGAACAAAGTTACGGCACAAACTCCGGGCCAAAACATATCCATAATAACATAGCAGCTATAATGCATGGATTCCCAATGAACGCAAATAAAAAGGAATGAAGTTGGTCAGATAATTAAAATACACTTCAGGGTGTCCTTCTTTCAGCAATGGGACTGTGATTTTTCAATTTAATTGAACTCATCTGAACTTAACTGTTATTTTTTGATGTTTTAGGGATTGAGTCTATTGTACTCTGCCAATGGTACTATTTGGTGCCGACTAATGCCTAACTATGGGAGTTACTAGATGCAAAGTTGGTATATGTAGACCCATGTCCTCCAACAGCTAGACAATACAAGCAACTTTATTGTGTTTGATGGTCACATGACGTCAATTTAGGGAGAAACTTTAAAGTCTTCTCCATGGAACCTCAGGATTCCTACCAGAGGTTGCTTGGAGTTCCTTGGGTGATGAGCAATGGCTGCCTCTCAGATAAATAACTACTGATATCAGTAATCGTTTTACCCATCTGTGAAAATGGACTATTCCCATTGACCACAAATGTAAGGAATATCCTTCCCAGTGACCATCACAATAACATGCCCTGAGCTGTAGATCTGGTATTTATTAGTAGGGGTTCCCTAAGCCTGGAATGTTTCTCCAAGTTAAAAAGGTTGAGAAAGGCAGCTTTAGAGACTGAGCAGAGCCCAACAAATGTTGAAACTGAGAAAGAAATCTATTCGATGTAAATTAATTTATTCAGAAAAAGAGATCTGCTCACTAGGCGTGGTTACACCATAATAATGTACTATGGTATTCCAATATTGTAGTGCAAGCACAAAAGCAAACATTGACAAATATGGACATTTATATTTCTTTTGGCAATGTTAAGCAAGGCAGCTTGAAATATGAACTCAGCCTTAAAAGTCCAGCATGAAGAAGGCAACACCATATCTCTGTGTCAACAATTTATAGGGTAATATGAATGGCTCAGAGATTGGACCTATGCAATACAATTGTGGATGTCCAAAAAGTGGTTTTCATGTGTTTGGTGATACTTGGATTATTATTTTGAGAAGATACAAAATATATATGCACCAGTAATATTTGCTTTGGCATACATCTAATTGCCTGATTACAAGGTGGCCACCAATCTAAATGGTATGAAGGAGGAGTTTTAGAGTGTGATATTTTAGATTACCATGGTTTTTAGGACAACAAAGCTCTCGCTTGGATGCAATTTGCAGGCTAAATACTGAGCCATTGGGAGCGGAAAAGAACTGTCAAATGACCTGGGTAACAGGTACAGGACCTCTATAAAAATGGAAAAGGATATAGAAAGATATCCAAAGCCTTGAATATGCCAGTCATTACTGTTCAATCACTTTTTAAGAAGTGGAAAGTCCGGGGATCTCTTGCTACCAAGTCAAGGTCAGGTAGACCAAAAAAGATTGCAGCCAAAACTGGCAGAAGAGTTGTTTGGGGTACAAAGAAAAAACCTACAGGTAACCTCAGGAGAAATACAGGCTGCTCTGGAAAAATTATCACAATACAATCATACTTGAACATATATAAGCTGCATGGTTGAGGTGCCAGAAAGAAAAGAATACAGTCCCTACAGTCAAACATTGTAAAGGTTCACTTATGTTTTGGGGTTGCTGTGCTGCTTCAGACACTGAATGTTTTGACCGTGTGCATGGAATTATGAAATCTGAAGACTACCAAAGAATTCTGGGATGCAATGTAGGGCCAGCGTCAGAAAGTTGGGTCTCTGTCAGAGGTCATGGGTCTTACAGCAACATAATGACCCAAAACACAAATAAAAAAAAAAAAACCCCAGAAATGGTTTCAGACAAAGCTCTGGAGAGTACTTAACTGGCCAGCAATGGTTCCAGATCTCAATCCCATAGAGCTCCTGTGGAGAGATCTCAAAACAGCAATTGGGAAAAGGAACCCTTCCAATCTGTGAGACCTGGAGCAGTTGGCAAAATAAGAGTGGTCAAAAATTCCAGTAGAAATTCTGATTGTTACAGGAAGCGAATGATCCAAGTTATTTTTTCCAAGGGGTGTCCTAACAAATATTAAATTGAGGGTGCCAATAATTTTATCCAGTCCATTTTTGGCATTCTGCATAGAATGTGTCAGATTTGGCTTTTTTGTTTCTTTACTTTTTTGTGCCATACCAATACAAACAAACATGAGAATGCCTAAATATTTGTAATTGAAGCAATTTTCTGGGTGAAGTGGTGCATTATCTGACAGAAATGCAGAGGGAGCAATATTTTTGGCCATGACTGTATGGCTAGTGAGGCTAGTTTGACCACTGGAGGAGATGGTATTTTTCAGTCTAAAATCATAGATCTGCAGCCTGTGATCTATACCTTTTACCCATTTTTTTCCTACACGCAAACTGCTGACTTGCAAAAAAGGAGCCTGCTGCATTCAGCAACTTCCTCCCAAGCACATCAACCAATAAGTGGTTTGTCACAGAATGTTTCCAGGAGCCTCAAGCCATTAGAGGCTCCTGGAGACATTATATGCCCTTGCAGAGCTCAGACTCCCTATAGCAGGAGGAGGCAACCCTAAAGAGTTTAAGATCTACCTGAACAAAATGGGAAAAGTCAAAGATCACCGGGCACCGTGCTCTAATTGCTGTACTACTGTGTCCCAGTTGCGTGCATTGCACAGCAATCATGGGTTAAAACAATTGGTGAGGAGGCAACATGTCACCTTCTCACCACCTGTCAAACACACTTGGATTGCTTTTCAGAGGAGAAGCAGTGCCTGCTGCACTTATGAATGAACCCTAAGTTGCATTCGGCACAGGGGCGGACTGACCATTTGGAAACTCGGGCACTGCCCGAGGGCCCGGGGTCAGTAGGGGGCCACATGAGATGCCCCTGGTACCTTTTTCATAGGCTTTTTTGAGTTTGGGCAAGGACACAGGGGCCTTATGATCCCCTATTGCCCGGAGGCCCAATGAGTTGTCAATCCGCCCCTGATTCGCCAGCTGCACCCTTATGGCTTGTTCACATGTAAAGTTGGGGAAGGGTAAAACCCTATGGCTGAGTCACAGTTTTTCCATCCCCAATCCCTACCCCCTTTAGATGCTAAGGCAGCAGCCAAAAGGTTTACATATTCCACAGCAGGAATTAAACCCTCCGTAGCTTTTGATGCGTGCTACCACCTGCCAATCGCGACCCATTCAAGTAAATGGGGCTACTCTGCAAGTGCCCTGCAACAGCATGCTTCAGTTGGGTCCAAAGCAGGTGGTGAGAAAGCAACACAACGCTGCCTGCTTTATCCCATTGTTTGCTGTATTGCACAAGGTTGCAGGGCACTTGCAGAGTGGCCTCATTCACTTGAATGGGTCATGCTTGCCAGGTGCTACACTCCCCAACCATGACAGGGCATATAACTCCTGCTGCGGCTACGACATATGTACATCCCTGGCCACTGCAGGTGGGTTGACTATGGTGTTTTACCACCCCCCCAACGGCAAATGTAAATTAGCTCTTGCATTCAGGAGTTTTGGTGCGCTTTCAGAAAGTGCAGCAAACCTGCAGGATATAATAGAAGTCTATTGCTTGACTATGGTGTTTTACCCCCCCCCCCAATGGCAAATGTAAATTAACTCTTGCATTCAGGAGTTTTGGTGCGCTTTCAGAAAGTGCAGCAAACCCGCAGGATATAATAGAAGTCTATTGCTAAGCACAGCAAACCCGCAGGAAAACGTCAGGTACATTGCACTGCACACACGGTGTGGGGAAACCGCAGCACATCAGTGTGAAAGCAGTGCTATACATTTTCCCCAGTATATTGCTTCACATTAACCTGAAGATCTCTTCTTTCCTGCTGCTGGCACCACTCTGGAGACCGCTAGCCGGGATAAGAGGTGGAGTGCAGTTGGTATCACTCCGCATGGGACAGGAGTCGGCACTACAGAGGAGGCATCGGCTTATGCGGCTCTTGATCCCTACTACAACTCTGCACTCTGTTTGATGCTCTGGGATGGTGGATCAGCAAGCCCAGACTGCGATCTACCAGTCACCTTGCTGCGATCTACAGGTTGCTGACCCCTGCCCTACAGCAATTGTACACTATTGTAACATACGACAGCACTTGAAAACTAAACAAGAATATGTAGCACTACCCCTGAAGGAGCTGCTGTATTTTGGGCCGATTTTCCCCTCACAGTCAGACAAAAGGAATTTTCCACACTCTCTCCAATGGCTCAAGAAACATCTAGGGGTTTTGGTTTTTAGTATTTATTTTGGGAATGTAGAACAGAACTTTGATGGGAATTAGAGGTAGATGAAATGCACAGAACTGAAGAAATTACAAACTCCAAACAAGGGGCTGGGGACCTACTAAAGTCTTTGGCTGCTATAATATAGCTGCTATAATCCAAACTGAACTGTGTTTCAGTGGGAGTCGTGGTGTAGGTAAAACAAGGAAAAAAGTCCAAAAAAAGTAACGTTGAAGACACAGCACCTGGCTGCTCTAAGCCCAAAGTTAGAGTTATTGGGGTGTTCCTGGCTGTCTTGCACTGCACTCAATGGGTTTCTGCCCAGCATATAGGCAAATGACAGTTGGACAGGACAGGAAACACGATCTGTCACCTATATTTCCACCGAACACAGAGAATGACCAATCAGTGTACATGCTGCTACAGGTACCAAGTGATCACTGTGACAAATCACAGCAGATCACATAAAATTGTACACAATAGATGGCTTTCATTCATGCCATCCATTGTTTACTATTGTGTTTAATCTCTGATTGGTCACAGTAATCACATGGTACAGACAGGGCCAATCACAGCCCATCTGTACCATGTGATTAGCTGTGGCCAATCTCGATAGTAAACACTGAATGAATCAATTTCATTCAGTAAAAAATTGTTGCTTATAATAGAAAAATTTACTGGTATAAGGAATCACAATGTGTAAAATAAAACAGATCCTGGTAACTTCCCCAAAGCAGTACAATGTTACTATGGTAACACTGTATTGCTCTGGTCACAGTGTGTGTTAAAAAAAAAAAAAGGGTAAAAAAAAAAAAATTTAATAAAGAAAAAGAAAAATTTCACCGCGACACCAGGTATATGAGGACACTGTTGACACTGTGATGCACTAGTGACAGTATGTAAAAAAAAAGAAAAGCGTTAATTAAAAAAACTCACCATGCCTCTTACTAAATACTTTAGACTGTCTACTTTTCAAAAAGGGGTCATTTGGGGTATATTTTTACTTTTTAATTTTTCGGGCCTCAAGAAATTAGATAGACCATCAGAACATCAAGAATGATCAATTTTCATATATATTATATATATATAGTTTGTGGGATAACTTTCCTACAGGCTAAATAATGAAATAAACACGGATTAGGGTGATACAAATTTACATAGGTACAGTGTTGCATGATCACGGAATTGTCATTCAATGTGTGACAGTGCTGAAAGCTGAAAATTGGCCTGGGCAGGAAGTGGGTGAAAGTGCCCAGTATTGATGTGGTTAAACTTCCCCTGGCCCCAGACATGTGAGGTATTGCACTTCACTGTATGGCTGGCTTGTACTCAATCTGTCTCCTTCAGTAGCTCCCAGAATTTAGAAGGCTGCTGTACTGGTCTTTTGCTGAACAGGCTGCTTCTGGCTGCGTGTGAAGTCTGCAGCTAAGCCTAGCCAAGACTGTAGCTAAGTGATGTCCTGGAGCTCCCTTCCTCTCCCTCTCATCTGTTTGTGCTCTCTTCTGCCCCCAGCATAAGGGTAACCTTCAGATATCTGGACCCTGGACTCTGCTCCAAGACTGCCAGGCTTCAGAATATTTATGGGCTGCTTCCCCACCTACTAGGTCAGCCTTCCCAGGTATTGGTGGAAGAAGCTCCATTAATATTCAGGCTGTAGCCTCTGTCCCTCCACCATGTTCTGGAAATATCCAGTGAGTTACAGAAAACGGAGAGAAAACAGAGCCACAGCCTGTGAAGCACAGCCCAGTCTCCTAAACACAATTAACATATGCTCCTCTGCCTACAGGAGAACCGAACCAAATTTACCTACACTAGCTACTGTAGGCGTTTACAATTACAAAATACTAAACTCTACAGCAGGGGCGGACTGACAACACATGGGGCCCCCGGGCAATAGGGGATCATGGGGCCCCTGTGTCCTTGCCCAAACTCAAAAGAGCCTATGAAAAAGGTACCAGGGGCATCCTACTGAACCCAGGGCCCTCAGGCAGTGCCCGCGTTTCCAAATGGTCAGTCCTGCTCTACAGTGTTCTCTAGGAACCACACAGGTGTTCCATATATATATATAAAATGCCTGAATTCACCACATACCCACACTTCAGGTACAAAATCTCACCTCATTAAATAGTAGTTCTCGACGTTGCTGCTTTCTGAGATCCATCATTTTAACAGCTACTTGACGCCCACTGTGCTTTTCTCTAGCAATGCAAACCACTCCAGTAGACCCTTCACCGATTTTCATATAATCCTCTAATAGCATACGTGGGTCTCCCTTGTCTACAACCATGCGAAGTGCTGTTTTGAATTGCTCATGAGTCACTACTGTAGTGTCCTGATTGGCTAATGGGTTCTTGTTAAAGGAGTCCTGACACAAATGGAGATTGGAGGAGCTGGTCTGGATAGGACGGCTGCGAGGAGAACCTGCTGGAGAAGGTCTGCTAGGTCGGAGAGGGGAGACCCGCTCTGATGGTGTCCCTGAAATGACCCTAGAAAAGTCTGGAGATAAATGGTCCGGTGGAAGGGAAGCTGCTTTAGTCAAAATCCCCCGAGCCGTCAATATGGGCCGCTGGTAGCCCTCATTCTGGAAAAAAAAACAAATATCTTTTCAGTGGCTTATCATTGTAATACTATTTCATTTAAATTGCCATTTAATATAAATCACAGCTAGTGGCATTTAAAGGTTGATTCCTCAGATGAAACACCCTTTCAGAGCAAATAGTTTGTCAGTAGATATAATACACTTTGTATTGGCAGATTATTAGCCTACCGCTATCAAAGGCAACCTTTTATGAAAAAGATGCATGGGCTGCCACTACTGACCATGGTTTGTGAAAAAGCTAATTGTCTGGCTCCAATGCTGATGCTTTTATAAGATATGGAATTTTTACCTTGTTTTCCTGTGTTTCTTTTTGCACATATGTCAGAGACTAAGTAGTATTGGCAGCTAGGTTACTAGCATTTTAAATCGATCAGCAATAGCAGCCCCTATCTATGGCAGGTGTAATATAAACTTCACTGATTTTCCATTGGATGACAGTAAGATGAAATACCTTTTTTGGCTGTGTAGGATAGGTAGAATATTTTCTCATTATTGAACAGTAATCTAACCCCAATACCTTAACTTGGAGCAAGGCATTGCAGACATATTAAAAAACCACCATTGTGTATATATATATATATATATATATATATATATATATATATATATACACATATATACATACACACATACACTGCCAAGCTTGCATAATTACTAAGCAAATTTAAATATGTGCATATAGAATACCTAGCAGGATGACACTCTAGTGTGTGTGTGTGTGTGTGTGTATGTATATATATATATATATATATATATATATATATATATATATATATATATATATATATATATATAACATACATAGAATTTATGTATTTATATTTTGTGATCCAAGATTTAGGGTTTGCCTTACTATGGCCCATCTTCAGTATGTGATATTTGATTATATTAAAAAAATCATAAACAATTTATCACACTGAATTTGATAAAAACCATGATCATTTGAAAAATTTGTTATATGTTCTTCATCTAAATTAAGAACTCCTGCCCACCGAGTGACCGAGTGTCCATGAATCCTCTCTTATACTCTAAGTGGCTGGCATGGCACAAAATGCTGAATAGCCATGCATCTCCCCCCACCCCTTACGAAATAACTCATATTGTCCAGAGTCATCTGGACTTTCTTGCCTTAGACCAGTGGTCTCCTAACTGTGTCCCACGAGTCGGATGCAGCTCTTTGCTTGCATTTATCTGGTTCTTGAGACACCATTCCTCCTACTGACATCAATTACAAGGCACCATTCCTTCCACTGACATTAACAATGGGGCATAATTCCTGCCACTGACAACCACTGATGGAACAATATTCTTCCCACTGACCTAAATCATGGAACACCATATTTCCCACTGGTACCAACAATAGAGCATGATTCCCTCCACTTACAGCAATGACAGGGAACTATTCCTTACACTGACATAAATGATGGGGCACAATTAATAATTGTTTTACTCCCACTGACCACCGGGGAATCTTCTAGTCCCAGTAGCCTCAGTTAGGCCGGCCCCCCTATAGTCTGAAGGACAGTAAACTGGCCTATTGTTTAGAAAGTTTGAAGACCCCTGCCTTAGACAATGGCACCGTGAAGGTCTTCACCACATAAAATTCTTGGTAGATATTTACCATAAGCAATTATTTTCTTCCAATGCAGCCCTAGAAAAATTTCCATGCTTAGCAACCCATTCCTCTTTTTAAAAGTAAAGTTTTATATTGCCACTACCATTAGGAAATTAGGATTTTACAATCCAAAAAGCAAAGAAATTTCTACTGTATATAAAAATTTCTTCAAGACTATACCTCTATTATGGTTGGCCTAACCAAATGGACCAAGAATTTCCCCCAGCTTCCAGCTGATACTCTTTTAAATTCATTATGTTACTTTTGGGTAATGGCTAAAGCCACAATGTACTGAAAATGATGCTTTGACTTTTTTGCCACTGTTATACATCTTCATGTCACTTCTACCATATGGGCCTCAGCTCTTCCTCTTTCTGCCTGAAATGCAGCCATTTACTGCATGCCCCAAGATTAAATCATATTGTATCACTGTAGTCCACTATGATACCGCACATTTAGTAAACTACTTACCTCTAACCCCTGAATGGGCACTTTTTGGCCTAAATAACATCACGTCTCAAAATTTCAAGAGACTGTAGACATCTCCTTATTGTCATATCCCTTGTATCAAGGAAAGCTATCCTACAAAAAGTGGATCTATCCAGAACCCCCCACCATTTCTTTGTTTATAAACAAACTATCTTATGTTTCCACATGGAATGAGTGGAGGCCTCCATATATAAGAAACCACGGGTCCGAAGATTCTTTGATGTTTGGGAATCTTTCATTCAAATCTTGCCCATAGATCTTCAACATTCTATACAACGATGTTTTCAATGCATCCAATGGTATCAAACCAGACTGCTAACCAATGATCTCCAACTGACATATTTTCCACTTAAAGTGGAACTGTACTGCATCTGAGCACCAAAAACCAAAAATGTAATTTCATTCATTTTTAATATTCAAAGTAAACTCCTCTATCCATCCATGTATCCATGCTTTATTTTGCTGAGAAATCATTTTTAAAAACACCCCCTGGCATGGCTGGCTGTGGCCATATTGAGTAAGGGCAGATGATTCATGTAGCAGTTACTTCCTGGAATCCATCTGCCCTTAGCTCAGGCATTGGCTGAGCTGAAAACCCTCCCCCTCCTGAAGACTCCTGGGAAGTATGACATAATTTGCCTAGGCATGGAAACCAGGAAGTAAATGAAGAAATGCCAAACAAAAAAGGTTAAAACAAGTACATATGATATGCTTTCCTATCCATTTACTATTGCTAGCAGCATAAGGATTAAAAATAGTCATTGTTGATTGAGTGAGAGAAGTCCCGCTTCCCCTTTTTCTGTCACCTGCTAGTTGTCGATCCAACCGCCATCCATCTATATACGTATTACGGTTCATCCTTATACCCAGTACTACTAGTCTGTTTTAAAACTATACTAGCAAATGGTTTACTGTCATTTTTATTTGGTCTCACTGGCCAAATGTGGGGACCACTCTTGCTGTGAACTGCATTCACAAATTAAAAATAATAAAAATAGAATCACATTTAATGGGTTTTCAGCACAAATTACCAATCAGGACATACATAATTTCCAGAAAGTCCAAAAAATTCTAAAATTGTACATCAGTGCAATTTCTGAAAATTGTTATTTAAATCAACAAGCCTGCAAGGTCCAGTGTCCCAGCTGATGTAAATAACCATCATGAAGGACTTTTTGAAGCCTTGGAGGCCTTATCTGTCTGGTGCTGGATTCATAACACAGCTGTACTGCTGCTGTACAGGCTTGTACAAAAGGCTGACTTGACATAACTCAAGGTGATGTGGATTCTGTGCAGTTTATTTTTAATTAGCACAGTTTGTTCAGCATCCTGACTAGAAATAGCTGGTACAGATGAGGACCCTTCTTACCTGCCTGAACTAGAACAGTGTAGACACCTGTCTGCCTGTCTATACTGGAAGAGGTGAGGCCAAATAGAATGTCTTCCCTTAGGATAGATCTTTATAATGTGAAAGCAACATATTTCTTTATGTCAACTGCTGTGAAATGCCATGCGTGAAAAAAAAATCCTCAAAAGTTATCTGCTGCACTGATAAAGTTTTTCACTGAAAGCGAACAACACTTTTTTGTCAGGATCACACAGGAGAATGGAAATTACTGGCTTGAGGAAAAACACATTTACATAAATATACAATTTATTTTGATGCATTTTTACACAAACAGACTAGAAAACACAGGTCAGTGCACCAAATATTAGCAGGCAGAGCCTTGTACGTCAACACAGTATGTCGGTGTGAACATGGTGAATTTTCTCAAGGACATGCATTTTGATGTGGCACCAGACACATTATACTGGAAGTGCACAAAATAACCTCCTCTCTACTCAGCAACTTGCAATAATGTCAAAATGTCAGAAAATATAAGCAGATTGAAGCCCATCTCAAGCTCATTTGATTTTTGCTCAAAATGCTAACTTCACTGCACTGTGAACTTCTCATGGCGAGTATTTGATTCTGCAGCAAGACAGAAAGAGCCTACCTCATTTCTTGGCTGGAGGATATTCAGGATTATCCAGGACAGTGGTCTCCAAACTACGGCCATGGGGTCCCTTTCCTTACTTTTATCAGACCCTTGGGGCAACATTTCATCCACTGATTCCAACAATGGGACATAATTCCCCCCACTGACCCAATTAAGGGTTAAATTCCTCCCAAAGACACCAACAATGGGGCACAATTCTTCCCAATGACACAAACAATGAAGCCCAATGACCGAAATGATGAGGCACAATTCCTCCCAATGACACTAAAGATGGGGCACTATTCCTTCCACTGACACCAAAGATGGGGCATTGTTTTTAGCACTGATGTCAGGACGTTTTCTACTCCCAATGGCCACAGTTATGCCCCCTAAAGTCTGACAGGCAGTAAACTGGATGGAAGGAAAAAGGTCACCCCACCAGCAAGTGATCAAAGAGAGAAGTATGAGTCCGAGCGCTTCCAGTGTCAGCCTATTCAAGTGAAGAGGCGGATGCTGCTCAACCAACCTGAGGAGTCCAATGTTCTGTGACCAAACACATCAGGGGTGTGACCAGAATGGCGGCTGAGGCCATTCTTCAACATTGGGCTGCTAGGGTGGGTTGAGCAGCATCCACATCTTCACTAGTAAACTGCCCTTTGTTTAGAAGGTTTGGAGAACCCTGATCTACCTTTCATTCCTTGTAGTTCATTTGTTTTTAATCATGAAGGCTCAGCATCACAAATGGGCTTGTTGTTTGAAAAGGAACAAAAACCCATTTAGGTTGTAACCTTTATACCTCAGCTACACCTCACTCCAACCCTGAGGACCACCACTACAAAGCAACTATCACAGTTGGGTGATACCAAACGTGGTCTACATACAAATTCTGGCTTCCAAGGTACATCTACTCCTCCAAACTGACATCCAACCATCAAGGAATTTTAATATTTGCATAACTCCACCCAAAAGCCAGCCCACTGCTTGCATAAGGCTAATCACTCTTGAGAGGATTTTTCAGGGTGCTGTGATGTTTTCAGGAAGCCCCCTGGTGGCCTGCCTGACCAGAAATAAAAACTTCTTACATTGCATAGAAAAACAGAGATGATGTTGCCAAGTACAAATAAGGTATGTTATGAAAATGAAAAGGTTTTATTTTAAAAAATATTTAGGGAATGAGTATGCAGTTGCAGTCTGTTTTCTCCACTGCAGGTGGTGCACAACTAGAGCGGTTCTTCAGCTGGGGACAAAGTCAGGAGAAACCTGGTTTCTCTATGGTTTTCTTTGGCTCCCCAGCATTCTGGTTGGCTACGCTGCTTCCAGATGACCATGGCAGCGATCTTGGTTCAAGCAGAGTCGAAGTCCTTGCCCCCAAGTTTTGGTGTACATTTGCAAATTGGTTAGTGTAGGGAGAGCTTACAGGAACAGGTAGGGAAAGGTTCCAGAGGAGTAGGGTAAGAGCAGGGCCTTTGCCTTTACTTCCTCAAGTGCTCTCTTGGGCTGGACTGGCCATGCCGCACTCCACCTCCCTTGGCAAGCACTATCTTCAGCTTGGGCCTACTACCGCTTTCCGCTGCATTGACTTCCTGCATTGAGTTCCCAGTCAGGCATTCTACCCAGCCAGGTGGTTGTACTGTTCTGCAAGTCCTTTAATACACAGTTTTCTACACTTCTGGCCTCAGTGTGATTACTGCCGCTACACCAAGCTGCACCTACCCCACAAATGCAAAATATAAGCAGATTAGATTTCAGCCTTAATTATGAGCACCTAACCAGACTTAAAGTTCTCCGAACTCTGCAGAGAAAAATAAAAGGTAAGGCAGCCATGCAATAGGACTGCGCTATAGAAGACAATTAGTAATGTGTTTCAGTCAATCCCTGCCACTTCACAGTATATATATTGACTGTCCCTGTAAAGAGACATGAATCAGAGAAAGCAAAGATTGTTATGGATCATTTTTCTCTTCTTACTTCATACCCACTTCCAAACCTCTTTATTTTGCACCAATAGCATTTCTAAATGCAACAAATAAACTATTGTATATTACTTCTATACTCTGACTTAATTAAATATTGTGGTCAAAATATTTATCGTCTGAAGAGTATGCCAACGTTGGGTTATATTCACACCTTTCTTACTAAAATATTGCCCTGGAGGATGATTGTTCTAACTCAGCCTTTTTTAACCAGGGTACCGTCTGGTATTTTCAGTGGTGCCTTGGCAAAATTCCTATAAATTGCCCAAAAGTGTATACAAGCCTATGAGTGGATCAAGCCTGCCTTTTAGTTACACAAAGCCACAGGTTCATTGTGCAGCATTACAACAGTCTAGCCTTTGTTATCATAACAACCAATGATGTCATTGGTTGATAAGGAGGATGATGGGTGCCTCTACAGTATCCTTTTTTGCTTTTCCCCTGCCCCTCTCTGTCAGAACTGGGGTTACAATAGTAGAGTGAGGGGGGGGAGAAACTGGGGGAGAAGAGAAACATAGGAACACTAGTCAGTACCAGTACACTAAAGGTGTGTTTGGTTTGGAAGAATAAATCACCTCTAATGTTGGGTGTCCTACATGCGTGGATGTTCCAGTAACATGTAAACTGTGTGTTTCGTTTTTTTTACATTTTAGAATGGGGTGCCTAGAGACTGTGCAGAATTTTAAAGGGTGCCTTGACTGAAAAAAGGTTGAGAAACATTGGTCTAACTCAAAACAAAACACCTTTGTCATTTGAAAGACACCTGCAAGTGACCATTATTGTAGCCAAGAAAGCCCTCAAATATGTTGACACAGAAATAAATGATAAGTTATAGCATACATTCTTGTTGATAGCTTCAAGACTATGGACTGATTCACTGAAAATAATCTTGAGGCTAGGTGCACACTTTGCACACATTCCCGCAACACACAAAAATGCGCAGCCTTTTTGCAGACGCGCAGCAGTGCCATCAAGTCTTAATTGCACCTCTGCACATCTTGCTAACGAGCACACTAAAGCGTATTGTAACAAAAGTACCACGTGTTTTGGTGCAGCATGATTTTTAAAAAAGGTCATGTACTTCTTTTGTGAGTTTATTGTGTATATGACAGTCTATCAAAATGAATGAGCTGTCCTTAAAAAAAATACACAATTGCACAAAAATGCATACGCTCCATCACACCCAAGAAGATAAATGTAATATATATTACCGTGTCCAGTCCTTAGATATGGTGGCTACTTTAGAGTTCGGTTTCTGTTTTTTTACTTAAATTTCACCTGGCAATCCTGCCAGTAACACACTTCTTATCGTAGGATGACAATGCTCACTCACCTTACTGTATCTAAGGGAAGCTGCACCCTAGAACAGCACTACAGAACACTTCTCCATACCATAGGGCACGGGTGTCACACTGGCTGCCCTCCAGCTGTTGCCAAACTACAACTCCCATGAGGCATTGCAACATTGACAGTTACAAGCATGACTCCCAAAGGCAGAGGCATGATGGGACATGTAGTTTCGTAACAGCTGGAAGACCACCAGTTTGACACCCTGCCATAGGTGGAGGTGTTTGTTAAACCTCAGAGATAGCTGGGAACAATGTAACCGATAACTGTTGGCAGAGAGCACAGATATACTTTTGTATCTAAAATATATAACAAAATGCTTTAATGGCATGATCAAACAGGGAACAAACAAGGGAACCAATTTGTTCCCTGTTTGGACAACAAAATAACACACCAAAAGGGAATAAGGGAAGTTCACTGTTCACTGAAATGTGGCCTCATTAACCAACAAGAAGGCTTAGAAGGTGGAAGGGGCTAAGCTCACCTGTAACAGGAAAAGTCAAGAGTTGTAAATAGATTCAGCTTCCTATATTTTCTGACTTATTGTTTTGACATTCAGTTTTCTGCTCAGTTTGAATTGCCCAGGTCTATTACAGGTAAAATGTAAATACAAGTATAATAAGTAAGGAAAGCAATCAAACCTTTATCTTTTGTGCTGGAATAGGCTCTTCTGAACTCTTCCCATCAACTGAGGATGTGAAACCACTCTGCAGATGTTCGAGTTGTGAAATGTTCTCTGCAGGTTTTGGCACTGTTCCTTCTTCTAGGAGTGTTTCATGGGATAACTGTCTCCTTGTTGTTGTATGTGCTCGTGTGGTCTCATCAAAGCTATGACCTCCACTAATAGTCTTGTGAAGGTTTCCAGGTGTTGTTTTGGCTTGGGAAACATGATCCACTGTATCCTGAAAATCTCCAGGATCTAGAGACTTTGCTTTAGAAACAGGACCATTGGGTTTGGAGGGGCTGTCCTCTGAAGGTTTGTAATCAGGCCACATAGTCTGCCGCCTGATAGCCTTAGAGTTACCATTACAGTTGACGTAATTGCCATACTTGTCCGATATATTCTGCTCTGTAATAATATACTGTCCATTGTTTAGCCTTTCCTCACTCAGAACTCCCAAAGACTGAGCTCTCCTTCTCGTCAAAGGGCTTCGTCCTCTCAGAGTGTTGGAACTGCTTGCAGAAAGTTTTTGAATATCATTTAATATCCCTGAGATATATCCTTCCAAACAGATGGTACTACCACGAACAACAGTCTGTTTAAAATAAAAGAGGCAATTTTTAACTACTATTAATTAACTAGTATTATTAACTGTGCTTACCACTATTGACAAAAAAAAAATAGAGCCCCTAATACTGCACACTACATATCAACACGCAACTGCCACCCATTTGTGAACTGCAGAGGGAAATTGGGCTAGCAGCTTTCTGCAGCTTTGAGGAGTGCTATCTATACAACAATAGCCTTCATACAATATGCAATATATTACAACAACTAAGTTGTACTATGCCAGAAGTGGCTGTAAACCCCTGACATGTAAAATAAACTAAACATATCCTTCCATAGTGTGTACTTGCCTCAATGCAAAGCACTAAGTGTGATTTTATCCAAAGAGCCCATTCACCTGTCCTGGGTAGCACACACCCATATGGCATATTCTCAGACAATATGCGCTGGTAAACTTGGAAGTAAATGCACTCAAGGCTATATTGTGTTTTTCTAAGATTAGGATTGGTTTTGTCATGAAGTGTGTGTGTGTATATGTATATATATATATATATATATATATATATATATATATATATACACACACACACATACATACATATACATACACTATATTGCCAAAAGTATTGGGGCGCCTTCCTTTACATGCACATGAACTTTAATGGCATCTCAGTCTTAGTCCGTAGGGTTCAATATTGAGTTGGCCCCGCCCTTTGCAGCTATGACAGCTTCAACTTTTCTGGGAAGGCTGTCCACAACATTTAGGAGGGTGTCTATGGAAATGTTTGACCATTCTTCCAGAATCTCATTTGTGAGGTTAGGCACGGATATCAGACGAGAAGGCCTGGCTCGCAGTCTCCGCTCTAATTCATCCCAAAGGTGCTCTGTCGGGTTGAGGTCAGGACTCTGTATAGGCCAGTCAAGTTCCTCCACCCCAAACTCGCTCAACCATGTCTTTATGGACCTTGCTTTGTGCACTGGTGTGCAGTCATGTTGGATTAGGAAGGGGCCATCACCAAACTGTTCCCACAAAGTTGGGAGCATGAAATTGTCCAAAATGTCTTGGTATGGTGATGCCTTAAGAGTTCCGTTCACTGGAACTAAGGGGCCAAGCCCAACCCCTGAAAAACAACCCCACACCACAATCCCCCCTCCACCAAACTTTACACTTGGCACAATGCAGTCAGGCAAGTACTGTTCTCCTGGCAACTGCCAAACTCAAACACATCCATCAGATTGCTAAACACAGAAGTGTTATTTGTCACTCCAGAGAACACATCTCCACTGCTCTAAAGTCCAGTGGCAGCGTGCTTTACACCACTGCACCGGACGCATTGTACTTGGTGACGTAAGGCTTGGATGCAGTTGCTCGGCCATGGAAACCCATTCCATGAAGCTCACTTTTGTTGTGTTAATCTGAAAGCCACACAAAGTTTGGAGGTCTTTAGCTGCAGACAGTTGGCGATTTCTGTGCACTGTGCGCTTCAGCTCTGTCATTTTTACTTCGTGGCCAAGTTGATACTGCTCCCAGTTACTTCCACTTTGTTATACTACCACTAACAGTTGACTGTGGAATATTTAGTAGCAAAGAAATTTCACAGATAGACTTATTGCACAGGTGGCATCCTATCACGGTACCACGCTTGAATTCACTGAGCTCCTGAGAGCGATCCATTCTTTCACAAATGTTTGCAGAAACAGTCTGCATGCCTAGGTGCTTGATTTTACACAACTGTGATCATGGAGGTGACTGGAACACCTGAATCCAATGATTTGGAGGGGTGTCCCAATACTTTTGGCAATATAGTGTGTATATATATTCCCCCTTCCAAAATCAATGGCCAAACTGCACATATCTCTTGGTAATCACCAGAGGGGCTCCCATATAAAGTAACTTCAGTATGGAAGACTGGAGGGATGCTGAAGAAATATTCTTGCAGATTCAATAGATTTTTGCATCGAGATAAATCAAATCTACACTGGCATATATGAACAATGGTTTGGGTGGCCCCACCCTTTTTTCAGGTGTTGTCTGTTGAACTTGAAAAGTAGCAAAGATGGCCAAAACCATTGTTCATACATGCATAAATCTGTACAAAAACACTACTATACCATCCTGGCTTTCGGAGGTAAAAATGCATATAGTATCACCATTTTCATAAAAAGTCAACCTATTCCTTTCTGTGTAGAAGCTATTCTGAGTAGGCACCATCTTTTATCATCACTATAGCCTCTCAGACAGATGTTGAGAATTCTAAACTATGGATCTTGTTAAGATGTTATCTCTAAAATTGTTAGCTTCACTTTTGCTGTACCATAGCAGGTAATGATAGGTTTATTTTTCCAGGTAACAAAACATAATTTTGCTCCTGTATGAACCTGGTACACACAATTTGGGATATCTGACAATTATGAAGGCTGTGAAAAGTTATGCTGGAAAATACCATCCCCACCACTCACCTTCATAGGCTTTAGCTGCACTGGAGTGATCCTGGATGGGTCTACTACAGGTTTGGGACGTCGAAGGGTGTCCAGTACATTTTGCCATTGTGGAGGTAAGCCAACAAACTTCCCTTCCTTGGCATCAAAGGATGTATGTACACGATGCTGGAAGTTCAGAGGAGCCGAGATCTCTGGTCGTTTCTTTTTCTTTTTTCGAAACATGATTTCAGACTGAAACGCTAAAACAAAAAGGAGGTATAGTCTGTGAAAGAACATTCTTCCAAAATTATATAATGGCTTGTATCTAAGCAGATATAATTCTGAAGTGCGTTGGCATGCTGCATTGCATTATGCATTAAAAATGTTCTTTTCTCCGGAGTACCTAGAAGATGCAAAGGGTCTAGGGCAGGGATAGGCAACCTCAGCACTCCAGCTGCGTAGAAACTACAAATCCCATGAGTCATTGCAAGAATGACAGCCACAGACATGACTTCCACCCCTGGTCTACAGGATGGTAGAGGAGCCAAACGTGTGCTGGACTGCTGTGTTGCCTGTGCATTGATGCGCAATGCACGGACACGTTACCAATGTGTTGCATCATGCTCAAAAAAAATGTGGGCTTGCTATACATTTTTTTTTTTGTTACCAATGCAGATCAGCCCAATGGACCAGAGTGAACAACTCCCCTATACATACCATCATTTTCACAGGTCCTTACGTTAGCATGTGTTTGAAAAAAAATGTACCAACGCATCTGGTGTGAATAAGCCCTAAAATGTGCTTAACAGTCATTGATAAAATACATTAAGCAATCTCTGAATGGCACCCACGACAAGCTGCAAATCTCCTGTGTTCACAAAGCAAGAGGGCAGTCACTTGGCATGGGATTCGGAAGCTAGTGGAGATAACTGTAGTAGCAAAGACTTCTACAGCAATTGCCAGCTTCCAGGGGAATCCCAGAGGTATGGTATATGATGTAACTATGTAAAATATCCATTTCTGACATTCATCTTAAATCATTTGTTCTCCCGGACTTGTCATTTCACAGGAAACTAGAAAAAAATGTTCTAACAGCCTACTAACCTGGAGTATAATGTTCTGAGGAATAAATGATACTCACAAGCTATTCCTATGATTTAATCCTATAAAAAGGCAAAGCATGAGATGGTGATAGCTAAAAAAAAATATTTTTGTCCATTGCTTCAAACACTGAAACCAGTCATTTCTTGCTAAGACGTAATGAGTACTAATTAAACATCATTCACAATTCATAACTATGAAACAATACATTGTTAAAACAATGCATCATGAAAACATTCTAATACCTTAATGAACCCGACATTGTAAAAGTGTATTTATAGTAATAATAATTGCTTAATATTCAACATTAATGGTCGAAATATTCAAGGCATGAACGTCCAATACTAACCTAACAAGTCAACAGTTAGAAGTTCTTATTATTCATTGTTATTTGTTTAGGGTCAGGGTGGCTCTTTTGTCTTGAAGCATCCTATGGAGACACCCTTGTATGTAGGGACTAGAATTGTGCTTCCCTGGGGTGTCATACTCAATTTCATCCTGGTGCTGTATCAGCCCATGGTTGCCCTCAAAGAGCCAGTTGCATCTGTAAGACTAGATGTCTGGAAACCCCCCCCCCCCCCCCCCCCCATCAGATGTCAAGAGCCTCCTCACAATCAGAAGTCAATGAGGAATAGAAGGGGGTGCCACTAAGTGCAGTTTTAAAAGCACTTTAATAATTTATATGTATATGCGTTCACATGATAACCATGAGTATGGTTGCTGTGGCTGCACAGAGCGGAGAGGAATCTGTAGGAGGAGGCCTGTCCTCCTCTCTGCTGCCGACTGCTGATACAGGGGGGTGCGGAGAGGAGCTGCTCCAGCTGCATGAAGAAGTGCAGGATGTGACAGAGGAGTTCTGTCCTCTCTGTTGTCGGCTGCTGAGACAAGGTCGGGGCGGAGGAGAGTGCCGCAGCTACAGAAGGTGTGTGAGAGCCACATGAAATGGCCTGGAAGGCCAGATTCAGCCTGTGGGCTTTGTGATTGATGTGCCCTACACTGTGTGCATCAATAGAAAGACACAGCCCCATAGTCTAGGATGGCAAGTAACACTCCTGTGCCTCCCTCCTTCAAACTAACTGACTGGAAACTGTCCTCTGTTTACCTGCATTTATGTGCAGTCAGTTCATCTATGGTTAGAAAATATATAATTCTGTGCTTCCAGGGTCACATTAGAAACTCTAAATGTGGCTAAATACAGTGCTTTGAAAAAGTATTCCTACCCCTTGAAATTGTCCACATTTTGTCATGTTACAATCAAAAACCTACATGTATTTTATTGGGATTTTATGTGATAGACCAACACAAAGTAGCACATAATTGTAAAGTGGAAGGAAAATGAAAAATGGTTTTCAAAATTTTCTACAAATAAATGTGAAAAGAGTGGCGATCATTTTATTCAGCCCCCCGGAGTCAATACTTTGTAGAACCACCTTTCGATGAAATTACAGCTGCAAGTCTTTTTTGGGGATGTCTCTACCAGCTTTGCACATCTAGAGTGAACTTTTTGCCCATTCTTCTTTGCAAAATAGCTCAAGCTCTGTCAGATTGGATGGAGAGCGTCTGTGAACAGCAATTTTCAAGTCTTGCCACAGATTCTCAATTGGATTTAGGTCTGGACTTTGACTGGGCCATTCTAATACATGAATATGCTTTGATCTAAATCATTCCATTGTAGCTCTGGCTGTATGTTTAGGGTCATTGTCCTGCTGGAAGGTGAACCTCAACCCCAGTGTCAAGTCTTTTGCAGACTCTAAACAGGTTTTCTTCTAAGATTGTCCTGTATTTACCATCATCCATCTTCCCATCAACTCTGACTACCTTCCCTGTCCCTGCTGAAGAAAAAAGCATCCGCACAACATCTGCCACCACCATGTTTCACGATGGAGATGGTGTGTTTCGGGTGCTGTGCAGTGTTAGTTTTCCGCCACATATAGCGTTTTGCTTGTAGGCCAAAAAGTTCAATTTTGGTCTCATCTGACCAGAGCACCTTATTCCATATGTCTGCTGTGTCCCCCACATGGCTTCTCGCAAACTGCAAACAGGACTTCTTATGGTTTTCTTTCAATGATGGCTTTCTTCTTGCCACTCTTCTATAAAGACCAGATTTGTGGAGTGCACGACTAATAGTTGCCCTGTGGCCAAATTCTCCCACCTGAGCTGTGGATCTCTGCAGCTCCTCCAGAGTTACCATGGGCCTCTTGGCTGCTTCTCTGATGAATGCTCACCTTGCACAGCCTGTCAGTTTAGGTGGACGGCCATGTCTTGGTAGGTTTGAGATTGTGCCATACTCTCTCCATTTTTGGATGATGGATTGAACAGTGCTCCGAGAGATGTTCAAAGCTTGTGATATATAGTTTTTTTTAACCTATCCCTGCTTTAACCTTCTCCACAACTTTATCCCTGACCTTTCTGGTGTGTTCCTTGTCTTTCATGATGTTGTTTGTTCACTAATGTTCTCCAAACCTCTGAGGGCTTCACAGAACAGCTGTATTTATACTGAGAATAAATTACACACAGGTGGACTCTATTTACTAATTAGCTAACTTCTGAAGGCAATTGGTTCCACTAGATTTTAGTTAGGGGTATCAGAGTAAAGGGAGCTGAAAACAAATGCACGCCATACTTTTGAGATATTTATTTGTAAAAAATGTTGAAAAACATTTATCATTTTTCTACCACTTTACAATTATGTGCCTCTTGTATTGGTCTATCACATAAAATCCCAATAAAATACATTTAGGTTTTTGGTTGACAAGACAAAATGACATGACAAAATGTGGACAATTTCAAGGGGTATGAATACTTTTTCAAGGCACTGTATATGTGTACACATCTAAATGCAGCTAAACCTGCTTTAAAGCAGGAACATCTATAAAACGCAGGAAAAATTGATCTGGGAATCATTGTTAATTCTTCCAAGATCACTTCTCCTGTATTTAGAAAAGCTAAATGCAATAGTACCTGTGTAAATTAGATCAAATACTTAAACTAAACCCTCTGATCCTTGACCCTGGTATTACCTAATGTAATGCATAAACTATGCCCTAACACTGAACTAGCCCCCTGTTTGCTGTCCACTGGGACGCTGCACACAAGGAGAACATCATATCAAAATTTCTCACAATAATAATTTAATATTCCAAGTAGTACTCAATCAAGCTTCACTGCCATCTGCTGTGTATGGAATATATTGGAAATCAGCTGCAAAACATAAGCAGCACACTGGCTTTGTGAAGCACATAAAGCTATTTAAGAAAATAAAAAACCCTCACAATTATACAGTATTAAGTATAAAATAATCTATATAGTGTTCCAGTCAGAGGATAAGTGAACAGTCCAAACTTTCCGGAGGCCCCACTGCCCTCTCCTTAGATCTTGACCAAGAGGTAGCCCTTGTTTTACTCAACTTATCCTGTGTCAGTAGCGGCTGTATCAAATTAATTTACTTGTTTATAGCTGAATAATATGGTATGGAGGTGTTAACCATCCCACAGGTTGCAAAGAACTGGTTGGATCTAACCAATTTTTGCTATGCACGTATGCTCATGGTTAAAATGAACAATTATCCTGTTTGCAAAAACTGTATTTACTTAAATGCTTTCAAACAATAAAGAAAACGTTTCTTAGATGTATGCAGTTTCCCAGTTAATGACTGTGAACTCCAACACGGATCTCTGAAACTGCAGTACTTTGGGAACGTGAAAGTTTGATGGATAAATTAATTGGAAAATTTAGCATGTCAGCCAATGTTTGAGGATTAAGTGTCTGAGCAACACAAAAACCACGGATGCTGCAGGCTAAAGCCCAAACACAAAGAAAGGTGACTTCATTGTTTTATGAGTTGGAGAGAAGTCACTTCCTCGTTCCATGATGAGTCAGCCATGTGATTACATGGTGACTACAGGCAGTGTAATGGATGAAACTTAATGAGACTCAAATCTCAATATTGCTGTGCAAGTGTACAAACACCAACACAGAGCACCTTGTTGGGCAGAATCATCTTCTTTCAGGCGTGTTTTTACACTTTTATTTTACTGGTTTTAGAAATGCTTATATACTCCGAGGCAGGGGTGTCAAACTCAATTTCATCACAGGCAGTATCAGTATTATGATTGCTCTTGAAGGGCCGTAGCATCTATAAG